CACCCATTCTCGAGTTAGATGGCGAGCCTGGAGCTGCAGGGGAGGTGCCTCCTAAAGAAGGCGCCCTCTCCCCGTCCAAGGGAGTAGGTGAACAGGGAGAGAAAGGTGAACAGGGAGGCGAGGAAGGCAATAACGAAGAAGTCGATGTTGATGGCGAGGATGAGTGAAGGCGCTTGTATTTTTTTTTTTTTTTTGCACTTCCTGCTTTTGGCCTAAGCGCTCCTCCGCCATGTGTTTATCTATCATGCGCCTGTTGCACCCCGCTTCCAATGAATTTTATTACTTGACAAGATTTTGCTCTGTTAATGTTACGGGCGCGAATGGTGGGCGCTTTACGAAATTTGGGCGCTTATATTGCTTGGGCGCTTTATGGTATCGACAGAATTACTTACTAGGGCGCAATGCGCATGGCGCTTTACGGATTATGAAATATCTGAAGGTGTGATAACGGACGAGCGTTTTGCCAGCGTTCGATCAACTCGCTTCGGGAATAACACAAAAGGGCGCATTACAAATATACTACTTAAATTTACAAAAATAACAAGTCGACGAGTATAGGCACTACGTGGTTTAGGTGCAATAGTGAATGGGCGCTTTGCGGGCTGTGATATATATTAAGGCGCAATAGTTAATGGGCGCTATAAGACAACTCAAACGATCACTTTCCAGAAATAGCACAAAAGGCGCATTACTTTAAGACGCATAACATACACTTCCTTACTCCAACAAAACCAACAAAATACAAGTGGGTACCCGGGCGCGTTCAAGTAGTATGACTGGCATTTTTTTCCATGGGAAATTATCATCACCCCAATTTGCTTCCCACTCCCGCCATTGAGTCCACGCTCACTTACTCTTCGGGCACATGTGCCTCCCTCTCGTGGTACACTCTGAGGTTCTGAGCATTCCATGGGCGTTTGAGAGGCTTTCCCCCTAAGCTCTCCAAGCTTAAACGTTGCCAGTCCAATGACCTCACAGATCCTGTAGGGTCCCTTTCACTTTAGTGCCAACTTTCCCTCGCTTGCACTTGGCCTAAAATTTCTCCTTAGCACCAGGCGTCCTTTGTAGATTTGGGGGGGGGGGGGGGGGGGTGCATCCTTCGGTTATAGTATTTTGCCACTTGCCTCTTCATGGACTCAAGGCGCACAGCAGCGATATCCCGGCTTTCTTTCAGCATGTCCAAGTCTTGCACCCACTCGATGTCGTTCGACTGTGGCTCATGGTTGGAAACGCGATATGTTGGGAGGCGCATCTCGACCGGGATAATTGCTTCGCTTCCGTAAGTGAGTGTGAAAGGAAACTCGCCCATCGAGGTTTTGTACGTTGTGCAGTGCACCCAGAGGACCCCCGAGAGCTCTTCCATCCAGCGGCCCTTTTCCCCCGCCAGCCTTGTGTGGAGGCCATGCAGGATGGTCTTGTTAGCCGCTTCTGCTTAACCGTTGGCCTGGGGATATGCCACAGACGAAAAAAGCAAGATCACTCATTTTTCGTCACAAAAGTCAATAAAACCCTTGCAATCGAACTGTTTCCCATGGTCGGTCACAATTTACTGCGGCAACCCGAAGCGTGTGAGGATGTTACGGTTGGTGAACTTTCGGATCTGGGCCTGAGTGATGGTCGCCAATGGCTCAGCCTCCACCCACTTGGAGAAATAATCTATAGCCGCTACAAAATATTTCAAATTTTTTTTAACATAGACAGGAACAAATCCAAAGTCACAAAGTCAGAGAACAGAAAGTAACGTCATGCGAAAGTCGACCAGTAGTCGAGCTTCCGATGAAAGGGCTTATTTTGCCACAAAATGGGCGGCCCTGTTAAAGCTACGTTGAGCGTAGGAGCATGAACAGAAGTGAAACGATTGCGCCAACCGGTGGATATCCTTCAATATAACGCCTACATGCCCCACTGCGAGAAGGGCCACGCGCCCACGTTTCCTTGCATGGGAGCTACCGGGATATGAACATCATGAGCATGAATTTGGCATTGGCGGCAGCTAGTGACATGCTCCTTTGCGTCATCACGGATGGTGAGCCAGTAGTATCCTTGTCGAAGTAGGGTTTTTTCCAAGCTCCTTGCCCCCGGGTGCATGCCGTAGGCGCCCTCGTGTACTTCCTCGATGGCCTGTCGACTTTCCCATTTGGTAAGGCATTTCATATAGACCCCCGCGTGCGATCGTTTATACATTCGTCTGTCTATGATGGTGCGAAACAAAACATCCATCGAGCTTCCAGTGTCTACCAACATGCACTTTACTTCACATCCGGCTACTATCCCCCTTATCTCAAGTGCTTCCACAGACGGGATGCGACACGCCTCCTCTGGCACTTCATTGAAGTCGATCTGAATGGCTGCCCACGCGCTTGTCATAGCTTACTTAAAGCGCCTACCCTCCTCTAACTTCTGCCTTCAGTCAATTGACCCAGTTATAGCTTCGATGGTTAGTCTGATGCGGCAAGGGTTAGTCTCCTAGTTGCATTCGAAGGGCGAAGGGGGATGCGCCCCTTCGACTTCTTCCTGAGGATGAGGCGTTGCCTTCACGCTGGTCGTCGGGTCGAGCTCCCGTTCTTGCGCCATGAAGGTTCGCCTGTGTCTTGTCGTCCTTCTTCACAAACTCACTCAGCATTCCCCGATCGACTAAACCTTGTACCTCCGATTTGAGCTTATAGCAATCCGCCCATGTAGTGCCCTCTTTCTTGGTGAAAGTCGCAATATCTTTCCAAGTTCTGCTCATTAGGGCGCCCACGCATCGGACCCGGCCACCGCAGATGGTAACCTTTGTCTATCGTGTACTGCATGACATTCTTCAAAGAGTCATTGAGCTCGATGAAATTTTCGCGACTTCGTGGTGGGGGTCGCGACGCCTCTGATCGGTGGGCGCCTGGGGAATAGTTCGGGGAGTTAAACGGGCCAAGTAATGCCTTAGGCGCTACGCGCCCGTCACCCTCCTTGGGTCGCGCCTTGCATCGGTCCATTCTTCTCGCGGCTAAAGTCTCCTCGAGCATTATGACCTTCTGGACCCTACGACCCAAATCTTTCATGGAGGTGACATCCCTCTTGGACAACACCCTACACAGTTCATCGCTCGTGGTACACTCGTCCAGACAACACCCCAACACCGGGGGTCTAACGTCCCTTACCGACATGGCTACGGACATCCACCGCTCGTAGAAGTATTGGAGCGTCTTGTCTTCCCGCTGCCGGACCTTAAACAACACGCTGATGGTAAGGCTCCGATGCTTTCTGCTGGAAAATTTCGAGAGGAACATTGCGGCAAACTGCTCGAATCTATCAATCCTTCCTTCCTCGATCTGATGGTACCAGTCAAGCACCACGCCCCTAAATGTCGAGGGGAAGGTAAGGCACAAAGTGGCGTCGGAGCTGTTGTACAATTGCATCTTGGTATAATAATTGTTCACATGATCCTCCGGGTCAGTCGCCCCATCATAACTTGGCAATGCAGGAATGACTGAATTAGCTTGCTCGGTCAGGATACTCCGTGCTAGAGGCTGCCTCATGCCCATGGCCTTCCCGAGCACCTAGACGCCCACCCATTGTGCTCGTCAAAGTCTGATGCTATGTGCCTTGTCAGGTGGCCGAGGTCTTTAATGCGCATCAGAGCGCGGTTTAGGTTCCCCTCTTTAACGCCTCCACTTCTTTCTTAAGTATCTCCAGTGCTTGATCTTAATCCTCAATGATACGGATCAGGTCTTCTTTGGTTAGCGAGGCGCCGGCCGACCGTTGCCCCCAAATCCGCCCTACATCATCACCGCAATTGATGCATCATACCTCCAATTTTTCATGCGCCTCGACCGTCTGACACAGAGTTCAGAGATTCGAGGCGCCCAGCCTGCTTTACCGTGCCCTCCGTACGCTTTTGGCCGGCCTGACCTCATCCCCTGCGCCCTTCGTACATTTTTAGTCGTTACTCCCTTTTGTCGCCATGCGCCTTGTGTTAGAGGTCGTTCCCCACTTTGCCGACCTTATCCTCAATCATCATTGGGTTGGGCCTCTTTCTCGTTGCCTGCCCTTCTCCTCCTTCGGGCCTTATTTACGGGCTTCTTTCGCTGCCCCTACTTGGTTGGGCTTTCTTCCCACCCTGAATATATCTCTACTCGTCCAGTCATTCCCTCCATATTTTAACTAGCTACTGATTTGGATACATCGGTTGGTATATCACCAACATGACTTCCTTGCAAGTACCTTGCGACCGACGATAGCGAGGAAAGAGCACATCGTAGGTTTCGGACTAAGGAACTTCAGCAAATTCATTATTTAGGATGAGCTGAATTTTTTGCTATGTATAAATTTAACTTGACAACAACAACCATCTTGTAAGATCTCTAGCAATAATTGAGTATGTTAGTAGAATAGCATTGCATATAGATTCGGACAAACTGCATATTTACCATTCTATTAGAGATGCAATAAAGCTATAGTTTATTGGTCAACGCCTCCATTTTCCAAATGCTTTTTTTAGGGGACCAAATTAAATAACTTAACTCCATGTCCTTTCTCTAAACTAATCCGGCTGAAAAAGATAGAAAAGCACAATCTAAGCAAGAAAACAAAACAAAGACCAATCCCTTCTTTCTATCAAAGAAAACAAATCAAACAAAGAAAGAAGAAGACAAAACACAGGATTAGAGCGAGAGGGAGAGAGAGCATGGCGGAATTAGAAGAAGATTTGTCTGCTGCTCCAATGACAACTAATTATCCAAACAGAAGCATCGTCGTCATCATCATCATCATTCCAACAACTCTTCTCAAGTTCTCATCCCTTCTGTACAAACTTCTCAATTAATTAAGCAAGAAAGAAGACAAGAAAGAAGATGATTAGAGGATAATCTTCTTCTTCTGATCTCTCCTCCCAGCTGATTAACAAATAATAATCAAACAAGCAAAAACAGAACCCAAAACTCACAAATCTCAGAAACCATTTTTAACTTAATAGAATCCCCCATCAATCAACAATACTCTTTACACACGAAAAGCAAAGCAATTCACTTTCTGGTCTTCTTCTCTTTGCCCATCAACATGGTGCCGAATCCGAACAGATTAGCGGTTCCTTTTGAGATCGGGACGTTGAGAACAGGGCTTATTCGGGCTGTACCGTTGGGATAATGGTGAGAAGAAGAAGAAGATGATGATCCGTACGGGTTCCTCTTCAGGGGAGGCTTCTGCGGGAATGAATACACATACCCACTACTACTATTTGATGAAGACGGTTGCTTGTGGGAAATAATTGGCTTGTGGGTAGGATGGAAATCAGGTTTCTGAATTGATTTTTTGGGAATTGGAGGGACCGAACCGGTCGAATTGCTCCGGGCCAGAAGCGGGGGCAGGGAGCAAATTAGGGTTTTCTTGAGGTCGCAGTTTAGGCTGCTGCTCCTCTTGAATCCCCAGAACGATTTCGACGACGATGAAGGTTGCAGCTGGTTTTGATGTTGATTGTGATCGGAAGACGCCCTCGATTGATCTTCAGATTCCGGAGCCGGAGCAGCCGGTTTCTTTGACGGAGGAGGCAAAGGAGCTAAAGGCGGAAGCTTCGGATGGTCGAAGCTCTGTGCCCGGCGGTGGGCGGCAGAGCAGTTGAAAGTGGTGGCGGAGGAGGTGGGGTGACGGCGGTGGAAGGGGAGGATGATGCCGTCGGCGAAGAGCTCGTCGGCGGAGGAGGATGAGTATTGATCGCCGGAGTTGCTGGAGACGCTGAACTCAAACGGCTGATCGGCGGTGGGAGTAAGAGTGGCGGTGGTGGGGTTGGAATAATGATCGAGGAGGTTGGCATCCCTCCTCCACTGTTGCTGCTCCGCCGTTGGGGATTCACTATCGTCGGCGGGATCTCTGGAGAAGGAGAACCGAGGCGCGGTTTCTGAACACATGGTCGGGAAATGGGAAATGCTTTGGCTGCTGGGTTCTCTGTTTTTTCGGGTTGAAATGGGAAGTTAACGGGGGGAAATGGGAAGTTAAAGAGAAAGTCAAAAAGCGGGGGTGACAAAACCCTTTCGGCTAGAGAAATTTGGTGGAATGGAGGGAAGATGAAGAAGAAGAAGAAGAAGGGGGTTTGGCTTTGCTCTGTTTTCTTACCCTCTGAAATGGGAGAAAAGATCGTACCCAGAAGTCGTCTCACATTACTGTTGCTCTTTCTTTTTTAATCCCCTCCCTCTCACCACGTCTGACTGTCTTTGCTACTGTTGTTGTTCCAGTAAAAGAAGAAGAAGAACGATGACTGGCCTCGCTCAACTTTAACTTTTTAATTTTCTCCAGTTCATAATGGAGAAAACTTCGGACACAATTCGGCTATTATGCATACAATTTGGTTTACACTGTCTATACCGAACCAGATCGATATAGAAATCGAAACATACTAGATTGCGTATAATATGGTCTAGTCCTTAATACATAAGAAAATTAGATTAGATCAAATTCTTATTGCATCGAATGCAATGATTGTATGGTCATTTGTACTAAGATTTCTTTTACAATTAGACCACAGTTCTCATAGTTTGATTTAGTACAAATCGGACCATTGCACACCCGTACTCATAGGCACCTTGTGAGAACGTGCTCACAAGTGTCCGGGACCGTTGTATGTATTCGACACATGCTCATAAGATTCCATCCAACGGTCACAAATTGCCCGAGTCCGATCCAATGACTACAAACGCTTTGTGAGCACACTCTCACAGGGTGTCTGTGAGGACAATAGCAAATCCCTTTGGACCAGACCAAGAATGAGATATATGAGCTTTATTTCACGTATCATTTGTCTTCTTTCCTTTCGGCATGAGAAGATGGATACCATGATGATTTGCACAAAATATTTGAACCAATGTCTCGAACGAACGTTCAGTTAGTAATGAAAATTCTGTTCAAAAGTTTGACTTGATGTACCGCAAACATATCTTAAGCTTTCATATTAACATTCAACAAAACCTTAAAGTTAATCGTTGGCTTTTGCTTGATGGATTTGGGTTTGTGATGGACTTTGTCCAAAATCCATTGTTTGCTTCAAGTATTTATAGGTACCAAATTCGTGGGACCCATGGACTTTGACAGTGGCGGAGGGAGAGGGTAACAGGGTGGGTCCCGGGACCCACCCTGGTTCGGGGGAAAATGGTTAAATTAGGTACGATAGTTAATTGATATCGAAAATTAGGTCGCGTTTAATTGAGAATGGTTGGTTGAAAAGTTTTGTGTTTGAATCTTGGCGACCTCATTTCTTAAGTATAAGGTATATAGATTTGTGCAAACATCAATTTCGTATAAGTTGACTTTCTTATAAGGGAGCATGGTAGTAAATGGTATAATATATTATTGAAATCTTCCAACAACTCGATCAATTGATACTAAATATTTTTTTAAAGAACATCATTCGAAAGCGAACGACTAGGTAAATAATGAATTATTGGTTGGTATAAGATTTATTATTAAACCTCTATCAACTACTCGATGTATTGATACTAACGGTTCTTAACAAAGAACACCATTTGAAACACTACGGCTAACTAAATCAATGATTGTTTGGTATATATACAGAGTGATATTCTTGATATTTTCGACTGCTAATTCATTTTAATTTATCAAAAGTTTTCAAAGTAAGATTATATTAAAAAAATTATTTTATCATATTTATTTTTTTTCGAGCTGGACCCACCTTAAACAAAATTCTGGCTACGCCACTGGACTTTGAGGGTCCAAATCTGTGGGCCACACGGACTTGAAAATCCCACCTCTTTAGGTGAGAATTGGTCATGGACTTTGAAGTCCATCATTTTTTAACAATCTACCTCTCATATTTTCTTTATCTTCTTATAACATTAAGCGCAATAAAGGTAAAGTTCACTTTATACATACAAATTTAATTAACAAAATCCATAATGATATCCATGAAACAAACAATGGTCTTTTCTAAATCCATAATGAATCGAAAACCCTCATATATTCATGATTTTCAAAACCAAAATTATACCAAAACTTTTTCTTTTTTTTTGGATTTCAAATCCACAAAGCAAAGGACAATTACGTATTCAAGGTGCTACTATGTTCGGGACACCCCTAATTGATTGACACTTTCTCCCGTGGCTTTGGGTTTCTTTTTCTTGGGTAGGAAGATAGGCGTGGGTGCCCTTGGTATTCATTACTGATTGACTTATTTTTCTAAGTTTTCCTTTGTTTAGATGATTTAACATAGTTAGCCGTCGTCACTGGAAATGGAGGTTTTGGTGGATTAGGTAAGTAGTCCGTTACCCTGAAAACCACTATTCATCACAAATACTTCACTCTAGGCCTTTCCAAAAGACTCCAATCGTATCACAAATTCATTAGCTTTTGTTAGAGATAGATTATTGGTATCATCAAAACCAATGATTAATGTTCATCTTGTTTTCGGTCAACATATGAATTGCATGTTTAATGCTTTCTTCTTTTCCAAAACGATGGTTAGTTGGCCTCGTTCTTCAAGCAAGAGAACTTGACGAGTTTGCATCACAATTTACACCATTACATTGCGGGGGTGTGTTCTTCAAGATTGGTGTATGTTGGTCAAAATTGATGTTGTTCTTGGCGCCATCATCTTGCGGGGGCGTGTTAGAGATATATTAGGAATAATTTATATAGTTCTTAATATTATCGTGTCCTTGTATTATAATTATTATTGTTCTCTTACTTATTGTCCAAATCTTGTCTTACAATATATTAAAGGGGTTTGGAAAAACCACCCCTTCCACGTAAGCCTTCCAGGCTTCCCCGCGTTTCTCGGCATTTAGTGGGTTTTTTTTTTTTTTTGCGATTTCGCTATTTTTTAGTTTTCCGTTAGGCATTGAGAGAGGAGGGAGATTGTAGATTGTGGAGATATGGAGAGAGTAGAAAATTATTAGTTAGCACTATTTATCATCCATAAGAAGTATTTATTTATCTAATTAAGAATAATTGTTTACTATTTACACCAAAAAATTGATTACACATTCAATTAATAATACAAATTGTTTTTTTTGTAACTATTTATAACTACTATTTGTTTTAGCCACGCAAAATCTAAGAAATGTCAAAAGACTTTTGGATTTGATCCAATGTTACCTGGGTTGGGTTCTCACTAAAAACTATATATATGTGAGAATTGTTTTTGGTAATTTATTATATGAGAAAATTTTCCATGTGTAAGTTCTCACCATAAGCTATATCATAATTTCAATATCTCAATTCTCAAGTTTAGCAGAAAAAATATCTCAAATACGAAGACATTGACGTTTACTATGTCAATTATTTTTAATTATTAAATGTAAATCCAGTTAAAAATATATAAACATGTAAGAAATCACTGCTAAGATTCAAAATCACAACCAACAAGTTCCAAATCATAATTTATAATTAATTAAAAACTCCATTTATCTATACAGATCCCTATGCATACAAAATCATCTATGAATTTATCACAAATTCACAATAAGATTAATATTATTCGAATGTGTTTTATACTTTTTAATCAGTTGTTGATATTGAGTAAATATGAGATGAATTTAGGCTGAATAATATGCTAGCAACACAAATTTGTAATTACAAATCAATTGTGTCAACTTAATATATTATGAACTGAAAAAAAAAGTTTGTTATTATTATTAATATTAACAGTTACCTGGCCAATGGCCGAGAATAAAGCTAGTAATCTATATAAACCCTTTTGTGGTTTCATGATAATACAAGTTACAAGTTACTATTCTCAAACTTCTTATGGCCCCGTTTGGATTAGGTAATTAAAATGAGGGATTTGAGACCCAAATCTCTCAACCAAAACCCTAGGAATTTAAAACGTGGGATTTAGCGCAATTCTGCGTTTGGAATGGATCAAGATTTTAGCCCAATTAATCCCAATTACACGATTACCCCTCTCTTCTTCTTCTTCTCCGTTCCTTCATCTCGGCTTCTGGCGGCTCTATCTCTTTTGTTGTTGTGCTGATTTCTGCAGCAAAGGATTCACTGAATTGGGATGGGAAGGCGACAATGTCGGTATAGGAGTTTTTGCTTGGATGCCGGAAGAAGTTGGGCGGAGCTTGAGGTCGTCGGAGAAAGACGATGGAGAAGATGAGGATGAACTCGAAAGAAGGAAGAGTGTTAGTTTGGAACAAGTTTGGAACAAAGCAAAAAAAAAAAAAAAAGAGGGATTTCATAATAGCTGATACCCATTAGCTATTTTAAAAACTTGCATTTGAGAGATTTTGAAATTCCTAATGCCCAGAATCTCTCATATATCCAAACGCATGATTGTTTTAAAATCCGGCATAATGAGGAATTGTTTTAAAATCTCTCATTAAAAACCTGCATCCAAAAAACCCCTATACCTTTCATCTTTTGTTCATTTTGTAACTCTGAGGTCCTATGTTACGTGTTTGTTAAGCTAATATAGTATTGACAATACACATTTTGGTTTCACTACATTCATCCTCACTCAACTAGGCAATATGACATGAACTGGCTAGGTTTTTCTTGTATCCATACGAGTTCACGATATTATTGAAAGTTAGAGTTCACTACAGGTACGATTGCAAATCTTTTCTAGATTATCTGGAATATGTTCTTAGTTTGGATAAGGCGGTGCTCGTGCACCTCGAGAAATACGAGAAATCGATGCTTGTGACCCTTGATGCTTTCTGAATTGTTGTTATTGCTGGTGCCAACAACCCAGATTGTGGTTCAACAATGCCAATCGTTGGGTTTTCTACTTCGAGGCTGCTCGCGTTCTTGTTGCTTTCCTTACTGTTTCTGTAATGCTGATTATCGTTCTCCATAGAATGACGCATAAAGCCCTTCTCCTTTTTGAACGGTTCTACTTTTTGAACGGTGAATTCGTAATACTAGTAATATGAGATTCGAGAAAATGTAAAAG